CAGCGACCGCTGCACCTGGGGTGTCTCTTCAGCTGCAGCAACAGCAGCAACAGCAGCAACAGCAGCAGCAGCAGCAGCAGCAGCAGCAGCAGCTGTTTGCTGCTATGTGGGCTGCTGCTGAGGAGCCTCGTCGCCCTCTGCGGCTCGGAGCTGCTGCAGCCGCTGCTGCAGCTGCTGCTGCCTCCTATATACCGCCTATCAGCAGCAGCAACAGATGCAGCAGCAGCAGCAGATGCAGCAGCAGATGCAGCAGCAACAGCAGCAGAGGCTTGTGCAGCAGCTAGTTTGCTGCTGCTGTTGAGTGCAGCAAGCAGCAGCTTGCTGCTGCTGCTGGTACGTGATGCTGCTGCAGCAGAATGTCTATGGCGGCTGCTCTGCTGCTGCCTGCAGCAGCAGCGGCTTCAGCAGCAGCAGCAGCTAAAAGCAGCAGCAGCAGTTGCTGCTGCTGCTGCATCCGCCTGCACCTGCGTTGACGACAGCGAACAGCAGCAGCAGCAGCAGCAGCAGCAACAGCTGCAGCAGCAGCAGCAGCAGCAGCAGCAACAGCTGCAGCAGCAGCAGCAGCAGCATTTGGGCTGTAGGCGCTCCATAGCGGAGTTCCTTCTGTGGGAAACTGCTGCTGCCTGCAGCAGCAGCAGCAGCAACAGCAGCAGCAGCAGCAGCAACAGCAGCAGCAGCAACAGCAGCACAGCAGCAGTGGCAGCAGCACGGGAGACGATAGCGAGCTCTCTGGTGTATGTACGGGGCTGCTTGCTGTCGCTGATGCATGCAGTTCTGCTGCTGTCTTGCTGCAGCATCCAGGAGCAGCAGCAGCTGCTGCAGCAGGAGCAGCAGCAGCTGCTGCAGCAGTTTAAAAAACTGACTACATACGGCTGCAGCAGCAGCACGCAGCAGCTGCAGCAGCTGCAGCAGCTGCAGCAGCAGATGCAACAACTGCAGCAGAAGCAGCAACTGCAGCAGCAGCAGCAGCACCGGCTCTGGAGGTCTGTGCCTGCAGCAGAACTGCAGCACTGCATTGTTGCTGCAGCAGCAAGCAGCAGCAGCAGCAGCAGCAGCAGCAGCAGCCGCTGCTCACCGTTCTTGTCTCCTACTGAGCTGCTGCTAGGAAGGGCGTCCACCAGCACGCTGCATCAGCAGCTGCAGCAGACGCAGCAGCAGCAGCAACAGCAGCAGCAGCAGCAACAGCAGCAGCAGCAGCAACAGCAGCAGCAACTGCAACAGCAGCAGCAGCAGCAACAGCAGCAGACAGAGCTGCTGGGTTTTGGGCTGTGGCAGCATCTTCGTACTGCTGTTGATTCTGTTGCTGCTGCACTGCAGCAGCAACAGCAGCAGCAGCAACAGCAGCAGCAGCAGCAGCAGGAACAGCAGCAGCAACAATACCAATCGCATGAGAAAAGGGCAGCAGCAGCAGCAGCAGCAGAAGCAGCAGCAACTGCAGCAGTTGTGCTGCAGCAGCAGCTTCTGCAAAGCCGGGGCCCCTTGGGGTGTACAGGCAGCTGTCTCTGTCTACTGCAGCAG